ATCATGAACTGCGGTAACCGAATGAGACTGTATCCTTTTGTTTTTACGAATGCATCTACTCTGGCTTTCGTAAGGGTTTGCTGTGCACTCCTTCCCGATTTAGATAACGAGAACACATGCTAGACTGTAGTATGCTGTATGCTTCTGGGGATGAGTCCCAGTTCAATGTATTTTCTTAATATTATCGAGATTTTGCCGGTCTCTATGTGAACCTCTTTGTCTGTCGAGTTGGACGGGACGCGTGTACTGTAGTATTTGCGTGTTTGGTGCGTTTAAAATGCGTGGTCAATGCGTGTAATATGTGTTTTTATTATATGGCAAGCTCTGTGAGTGGGCAAGATGAGCCAAATCCTGTGCTGTGATTGGCTACCTGAGTGGGCAAGATGGCGCTATCTTGCCAGCACAGGACTACCTGCTGTGTCCCGCAAAAAAAATTTCCCCAAAAGCCATATAATAAATCCTTTATTGACCATGCTTGTTCAGTCAAGATGACTGGATATTGGCCTCATTTATTTTGCAAGTTTGTAGACCTCGACTCCGTTTCAGTCCATGGACACAAATAAAAAGAACTGCATGGGGAAATGCATAACCCCCTTACACTAGACACAGGGCTTAAGAAATTGGTTTGAAAAATGTGGAGTTTATAAAGTTGAAGGTAAATTTCTGCTAATTCTTTCCAAGGGAACAGCTACATGTAATTGCTTTGTAAATTAGGAAGTCTGGAAATATTCCTAATTTTCTTGACCTCGTTGACTTGCACTGATTAAGTAATTAGCTACTTAACACACTGAATATCAGACGCTATGACACAATGGCCACAGGAGCAGTGTACTTCCACAGGTTCTACATGGTGCAATCATTCAAAAACTTCCCACGCTGGGTATGTCTTTGCTAGTCACATTGTAACGAAATTCTGGTCCCAGTTGTTCAAAGGAAGGGTAACACCATCTGCTAGATAGATCACTTTTGAGTGAATAGCATAAATATTTTTTGTAAAATTAATACAGTAACTTACATGTATCCAAGGAGTAAGGCAGTCGTTCATGTGAAGTAAATGTTGAGAAGAAACAGGTGGATAGTTCCTTCTTGAAAAGGACTGATGGGTAACTGAGCTTATGCCGTCATACATGTATTAGTTTTAGTCTCCATTTGTATTTCCATATTTTAGAATTCCGGTCACGTACCTGTTTTGTAGTGACTCATGTACATAAAATAAATCAATCAATCAATAAATTACAATGTTTAGAGAGAAAGCCGCATCATCCTTAGCTGGTTTTCATGCAGGTCCTCTATCCTGGTCGAATTCAAATTTGGAGATGTTAGTTTTTGTGGAGGGAGGAAAACCAGAGAACCCAGAGAAAGACCCTCGACACATGGGGAGAATCAACAACAATTAACTTAATCCACATATGGCACCAGGCCAGAATCGAACCCAGGCCACATTGCTGGGAGGTGAGGGCTCTCACTACTACACCATCCCTGCTCCCAAAGACTTTCATTAGTCTAATAAACTACATGTATCATCTCCTATAAGCAACCAGCTACTGTTGATCCTGGAGGTGATTGCCTACATGTGAAGGGAACATCAAAATCTTGTGTTTCATTTGAATTATTTCTGTTTTCTTTTTCACTCTCTTTTCACTATGTCAGGTCACAGGCGCAGCATGCCTATTTCTTGCTGGAAAAGTGGAAGAAACCCCCAAGAAATGCCGAGATATCATCAAGACAGCAAAGAGCATTTTGTCTGATAATCAATTTGAAGTGTTTGGTGAGGATCCTAAGGTATCTGTGACTTCCATTACTTCCATTGTTTGAGAAGCTACTTCTAAAGCATCATAACCTTTATAAACTTAAGATGTCACTTGCAAGATTTTTTACAAACAACTGTGAAATTTCACCACTACTTTTGGCAGTTATTTTTCTTTCAAAGCTTTACCTTGTGTTAAATTTAACATGTAATTTACCTTTTAATTTTCATTTAATTTTAGGAAGAGGTAATGATGTATGAAAGAGTTCTATTACAAACAATCAAGTTTGATCTCCAAGTTGAGCATCCGTACCCAAGCCTACTAAAGTTTGGCAAAGCACTCAAAGGTATATGATTATATTAGTGCGCTGGCTAGAATTTCTCACAATAATAACACGTCAAATGATATAATAGTTACATGTAAGCTACATGTACATGATTACAAGTATGGAGGTGTGGTGGCCTCATGGTTATTGTGCTCAACTCTGAATTGAGCGATCCAAGTGCAAGCCCTGGCCAAGACTTTACTCTCACAGTGCATGACACTTGCTCTCACAGTGCCTCTCTCCACCCAGGTGTACAAATGGTTACTGGCAAATTTAATACAGGGGTAACCCTGCGATTGACTAGCATTCCATCCAGGGGGGATCAGTAGAAATATTCCTAGTGGCTTCATGTTACAGAAACCGAGATAAGTTCTGGCCTGATGGTGCCATCTGGCTCACATGCAGATTTACATGTGACCTTTTTACATGATTACGAGTACATATTTTTGGTGGGCTTATAGAAGAAATGAATTATAATTATAATTCCAGGTGACCGTGCAAAGATGAACAAGTTGGTTCAAATGGCATGGACTTTCTCAAATGATAGGTTTGTTTGTTTGTTGTTGTTGGTGTTGTTTTTGTTGTTCAGGGTTGTCATTAAGCATAACCTGTAACACTTGTCACAGGTGAGTATCCTTGATGAGCTCTTGACGTTACAAGTGAACTTTCATGTTGCTAAGGCAACAAGTTTGTTACAAATTTGAAGACCAAGGCCACAGGTGACTTACAACTTAATGACAGCCCTGTAGTGGTATTTGTGACGACTGTTTTTGCTGCTGTGAAATAAAATAATTGTGCAACTCATTGTCTGTTGGAGTGCATGTGGTAAACAATGCTTGCAGCCTCTGATATTCTCATGATAAACTCTGGAATTCTTTTTGTTTTTGTTCTTGAAGAGAGCTATAAATTTATTGTGGTAGGTTTGTGATGGGTTAATAGTGTTTTGACTGTGGTGCATGCGAAAAAAGGGTGAAAAGGGACATCTGTCAGTTAACACAGCCTGGTACATCCCTATTCAATTTTGTTAGTTTGGAAGTGTCTTTAACAGAGTTCTGCATTTGTTGAACCTTCCAGCTTGTCCACCACGCTGAGTTTGAGATATAAACCAGAAGTAATATCAGTAGCCATGATAGCATTGGCTGCAAAATTTAACAACCATGACCTACAGGCATCCTCAGCTGCCCCTGGAAAAACATGGTTTCACTCCTTCACCAAGGGTCTCACAGAATCTGTGATTGAAGGTAATTTTCTTGAAAGTACTATTAAGAAATCAAATATGGTGAATGTATTTACATTCAGCCAGATGGAAAAGAATAAAACAAGGGAAAGTTTGGGGGAATTTAATGTTTAATGTATGCAGGAGCTGCAGTTGAGGGTTTACAATATATTCTTAATCAGGTAAATTATATTAACATGTCACAGCAGAAAGCTGTTTTCTATTGTCTATTTAAGCTAACGACGTGTGAATCATAGCCTTTGTTTTGAAAACACTAGCCTTTGAACAGACTCCTGATTGGGGTATTAGTGTAAAAAAGGAGAGAGCTAGCAGAGAGCAGTCTGGGGTGGAAAAAATGGCTACCATGTTTGGCTCACTTTGCTAAACCTAATTTTCTTTTTTGGCTGTTGCCAGGCACTTGTTCACAGGCTATGGAAATTACTCTACCACCTTTTAAAGACTGCACCACTAATCATGGCAACTGTACTCTTTTAATGAAATCTTATAAACCCATCAACTTCAACTTTTTTTCCTATACCGGTTTTCAATTGATTGTTGTACATAAAACCCAAAACCAAAACAATTACTTATCCAATTAAGTTGGTACTTTTTGTTTTGTTGTGCATTCTCGGGGTCTTTTATAACTGGATTTAATTTTTTATTATTTTCTACGTCCTGGAACAGGTGGTTTTACAATATTAATAAGGGATTGGGCTACATGTATATATGTTTTACGTGGTGTTATGGTAACCAGATTGGCACTCCTAACAATGAAATATCTGTCCTTTTGGACATCAGTATGACTGCTGTGGAAATACTCTGACTGTTATGAATGAGAGCTTGGATAAATACGTATTAACGGATAATTTAAAATTAACATAAAAAGTAACCTTTTAAATAAAAAAATGTTTGTACAATCATATGTTCAACTTCATGTACATACAGTGTTAGTATTACTATGAATTTCCAAAAGTAGGCAGCTGCTGGCAAAGATCATCACCTACTTCATGATCTCAGTCAGCTACGCTACGGGGCTGAAAATTCTTCCACTTATTAGATCTTGAAAACATCACGGCAAAATCTTGGGCGGGGGACTCCCATATAAAAAGGAAAGGGGTGTTCGTCAGAAATTTTGAAAAGAACCCCTAAGAGGTGCCTAGATGCTGTTTTGTGGGCATGGCGTGAAATTTTTTTTCACCCCCAAGAAGTACCAATTCTAAAGCAACACATTGTCTCCTGTCATGTTTTTTTGGCTCAATACTCTAAAAGGTACTGCTCTCACTCTGGACCTTTTGAGGCTGAGCATCCAAAAGCTACCAAAACTGCTAAAAGATACGACAAGCACCTGCATTCATTTTATTTGGCAGTCCCCCCCCCAAGGGGGGGGGGGAGGATAAAATCAGGCACTCCAGCAATCAAGCTGACAACTTTAAAACCATTTCTTTCTAAAATAAAACCTTGTGTTATATACATTTGTCATGTTGAAATTATAATACATACTTTAGCAAATTGCTGCAGGTGTGCATGATACTTGCACCACATCTTTTCTGGAATAGTTCATATTTAATTAATAAATTTGTAACTCCCCAAAAATAAATGCAGACATTTGTGATGAAATGCTGGAACTGTATGGTGGTGGAAAGAAGAAGGAGAAGACTGAAGCCAGCGATGAGGGAAGCTCATCAAATCAATCCAGTCCAGTGACAAGTTCCAGCCCTCCAGCCAAGAAAAGGGTGAGTCACTTTTAAAGAGATCTTGCTGTTTTCGTATGATGTGCAAAAAAATTATATACAGTACTAATTTATAGTGGAGCTCCTACGGGCTGAAGGTGCATGAGTGGAGCCCCATACCTTAAAAAATTTTGTAACCCATCGATCTGAAAAATTTTGGTTGTCACATGACTGTGCATACATAAGTGTACATCCGTACGCCAAACCTTGAAAACTAAGAGAGTAGCACCATTACCATAGCTACATTTTTTTATTTTGGGCATCCACACTATTGTTAATTGACAGCTGTCACAACAAGCTATCCGCTGACCAGTATCACATGGCCATATTGTGGGCTCAGGTTTAGAGCTCATCAGGGTTGCATGTTTTTTTGAAGTTGACTGCTGACCAATTACAAATTTTCTAATTGGATCGTGGGCTCAAGTCAGGTTATTTCTCTGGGGAAGAAGCGGGGAGTACTCGCAAAGGCGAAATTTTAGAGCAAATTAACCCCTGGCTTGTTGGTGACTTTTCTTCTGACATATTCCTGGCACAATTGTCTCTTGGAAAGTCCCTGATACATTGCATACATAATTTCTACAATCTTGGTTAGGCTTATGGGTACAGTTTGTTAAAATTTAACTGGGAAAAAGCAAAACCACATGCTGAACAATTACATGCTCACAACTGATCATTTTTTGAATTTCTGATCCAAGAAAAAATAATTCTCTTTTTCCTTTATGGTCAGTTAGTGCAATCAGAAGCTCTGCTTCTAGGCTTGGCTAAATTTATATATTAAATCAAAATAATGGCCTTTTCTTTTTTTTTTCCTTTGTTTGTTTGTTTTCCTCAGAAACATACAAGCACAACATCAGACATCAAATCCCAGACATTGACTTCAGGTAACAAAATGCTTGAATGATAATCATTTGTTGGAAATAATAATCTATTAGTTGACATTCGTGTTATTGATAATAGTTGTTCAGAAATTTTGATTGATATGACATTCTTAAAATTAGAAGTCCTAAAATACACAATGTGTTTGCCGAAAAATGTGTTGTAGTTAATTTTTTGATTTAATTTCAACTATATGCACTCCATTTTCTTCAAGCTAGTTTATAACATGTATACTTCTTGTTTTCAATAGATACTCCCCCTGTGACAAGTCAGATATCTGCTGAACCACTGAAGCCACTTCCGCCTGCACTGACCTCATCTCAGATACAAGTGGAAAATGTCAGCCCTGCACCCTTGCCCACGCAGCAGCAACAAAAGCCTGTCACTGTGGTGACAGACCCACCAAAGGTCACGCAAACTGTGGACACTTCATTTGTTACCGCTCAAGCAGGAAAACAGACAAGTGACAAGCCTACAGTGGCATCTGCAAATGTTTTACAACCTTCCTTGACATCGTATTCTGTGGTTACATCATCATACAGTGCTGATAAGAACTATGCAATGAACGTTTATCAGCCGACAGTCCAACCCACAGGAGTTACAACTCTTACCACAAATGCTTCATTTCAACCTTCCTTAGGTAGCACCACATTAGGTTCTGTTCCTCCTTTCCACTTACCATCGCAGTTCCAAAATCAGTCTTATCTGCCTCCAACTCAGGGATATGGCCACTTCACTGGTCTTGGAGGTTTCCCTAATGCTCCTCCACCTCCCCTACCTCCCATGCCTACTAGCACTTTATATCCTCCCCCACCGAGTGGAGTCAACACACTGCAGAACCCTACAGGGTATGGGGTGCCGCCTCATCAAGGCAGACCACCCCACCCACCCATGTCACTCCCTCCTCCACCCCTTCCTCCACTTCACAGTGGACAGCTGCCACCACTCCCTCAAGTTGGTTCCACAGACTTTCAATGGCCAAGGCAGTTTGGGGTTCCTCCAGCGCAGACCCAACAGATGGGAGGCTGGATGAGATGATCGGGTGTATATTTATATGTACTGTAAGCCAATGAAAAACAAGTGCCTACCCCTATGATCTACTGTGTGGAAGACAAGACATTCTGCAAAATCCTTCCTCTGACAACTTGCTACTTTTAAAGGGCCCAGCCACTCCTTTGTTTTTGTTTACATGCAAGAGTTTGGCTATTATATTTTTTTGAAGCATGTCAAAACAAAGGAAATCACTGTGAAGCTACTAATAAATAAAGATAATAATTTAAATTTTACTTACCTTCAGGGACAAATTACAGAAAAGCAATAAGATTTTGCGCCACCATGCAATATCAGGGACTCAAAGAAATAAAGCTCTTTGCACACACTGCGCAGGGCTATGATGTCATGCAACAACCATATTAGTTTCCATGTTGCCAACATCTGTGAGACCTGTGAGATTCCTTTGTCAGTTTTTGGTTCAAATCCAAAATCATTCTCCAATCTCAGTGCTCAGTTAATCAATAAACACTGAGGATTCAAAAACAGAAAATGAAGGTCACACATAATACAGTTAATCATATACCAGCTTTTATGCAACATTCCCTAGCTATTGTGCTCCTGTTATACAAGTTCTAACATTACAAATTAAACCTTTTCTGTCTACTACTGTTTAGTAAAGCTAGGTATAATGTGAATCAAACCATTCCTGTCATCACAGGAAACGATTGGTAGCAAGTGAGGTTGGAATCCCAAATGCCCCGGGGGGAATCCTAAATAAAAAGGCCAGAGATGCTCGTTGTTTTGCTTTGGGTAACAAATCAAGGATTGTGGTCTCACTCAGGGTGTTCATGACAAAATGCCACTATTTTTAGCCGTCAAAGTATCTTTTAGGGTGCACTTGAAGAAATAATAAGAAGAAAGCTTACTTATTTTTGTGTTTAGCCTTCATTTCTGCCATTGTCTGAAGTCTTGTCTACTGAACAGTGGCCGGTAATCAAGCCTATTCCGTTTTAAGTGGTACCTTTTAGGGGTCAAATGAAGCACGAGCCACACCCAGATTGGTCTCCTTTAGAGGTTCAATTCAAATTTTCTGACAAGCATCCCTGACCATTTCATATGGGAGTCCCCTCCTCAGCCCTAATGTCTCCCTCACAGGGAAATAGAACAACACCTTCTGGCTCAGTACAAACATTTCAAATCTGAATAGCCAAAGGCGTATTTCTCACAGTTTGGACATTAAAATGTCTCCCCATTTTTAACAAACGTTTGGTAGCAAAAACTAAGGTAACTAATAAAAATAGTTAACATAATTTGTGGGCTGTCTATACATTGGTTCTCTATCAGTGTAAGGGAAGGGTGTATAATTCTTCACTTACTTCACGTTGGATTGTACTGCACATAAAGTGATTTGCTCTCCTTCACAAACCATGTAAGAGAGAAGCGTGCAAAGTACACAGGCAGATGTTGTGTGGTTCCAGAAAATATTTGCACCTCCACTGAGGATGGTTATTTGGTTTTTAACCCCATGCCCACTCCCCTGGAATTTCCAGTTTAGCCTCCTACTTTCCCTTAAATATTTTGGCTATTGAAACCCCCCACCCCCTTAAAATTTCCAATGACCAGCCTTGTTGTGGTTATGGATATTTTTTGGACCCACACATTCCAGTGTGACAACTCAAGCCACTGGCCACTTGGAAAAAAAGAAAATGACAATTGAAATCAAAATAGTGAAATATAGAGTGAATGGTAATCTTTTGCGAAAATTTATCAGAATGACAACAGTGAGGCATCCAGGAAACAGTTCCACAACAAAGTTTTAAACCAAGCAAATGAAAATAATGCATCACTCTAGAGATCCTATCCTTGAGCACATTATCTTATTATTAATTCCAATCAAAAAGCAACCAGAGAAAACTTGTGAGGTCAAACTGAAACCATGCATTGAAAGCTGCTCAAGGATTGAACCTAACTAATAAATTACACCAAGAGGTAAGTAAAAATGCAAAAAAC